CTCAAAAATCATGGCAGGGCTGGGGCTGGGGCTCAGCAGTAGAGTGCTCACCTGGCATGTATGAGGCCCTGGGTTCGATCCTCAGCACCACGTACAAATAAATAAAATAAAGGTATTGTATCCACCTACAACTAATATATATATATATAATTTTAAAAATAAAACATAAAAAATCATGGCATATGTGCTTGGTATAGGATAGATACTTAATAAACATTTACCATTTGCTTGGAAAGCAGTGTTGTGTTCAGAGGTTAGAATTTAGATTTCCCTACTGTCTGTCTGCCTACCTATCCACCTACCGGAGTGCATCAATCTATCTTGTAGAAAAGTTGTTTATCCTCCTCCCTGCGCTTCAGTTTCCTCACTTACAAGCAAAGGGAGACTTTGTATTTATTTCCTAACATGGCACAAAATGTTTTCTTGCCTTTTCCATCCCTCACTCCAAAGTCCAGAGTGGTGAGGTCCTGGGTAGGGACAAAATGACCTGCTCTCACCCTGGTCAGAAAGAAGGACTGATCAGAGATCAGCAGTCACACTTCAGCACAGAGTGGCACCCYGACTCCACTTCCTGTTAGTCATTTGGAGGAGTTAGCAGAACCCGGGTATTCATGAACCAAGCCACTTCCTTTGTTAGCAGTGTCTGCTCTCCTCCAAACGAAACCTTGAGAGTTGAGGCCCTTCTGCAAAGGCAGATACAATTTACAAGTTAAATGGCAGGCAGTAGCTTTCATTTTCACAATCAGTGAGTCCTTGGGATGGATACAGATCTCACCATTTCCAGATCTGTCCAAGACATCTTAAGCCGATCAGTTGGAAACTTTACACCTGACATTAGTGGGCAGAGGGTGAGGGACCCCTGAGGAACACTGAGGGATGGTGGGGGAACAAATTCCAGTGTGCCCCGCCCTCCCTTTGGGGCACTCTGGGGAAAGCCCAAGGGGCGTGTGGTTTTCTGCTGCTGTGGGCCCTGCCAGCTCTTGGCCGAGTCCCCAGGCAGACCCTTAGGGCTGGAGGAACAGGGAGGACACTGGCAGGCTGGAGTGGGTCCAGGAGACCGCAGCCTGTGGGGCAAGAGTGTCTGCAACCAGGTTGATGGTGGAGGCCATGTTTAAGCAGGAGAAAGGAGGCCTCAGAGGCCGAGGGCTCTCAAGATTTGCTCTTGGACAAAGGATTGATGTTATTTGATGTTGACTGACAGTGCCTTTGGCTGCAAGCTGCAGGGAAGTGGCTTTACAGGTGACATAAGTGTGGAAGGAATTGGTGTTGTTCCGAGTGGATGCTCCAGTGGGGATTATGATGCCACTCAGAGGGACAGTGACTGCCATTTATTGAGCACTTACTGGGGCCAGACATGGGGTCAAGGTTTTTATGTGCATTAATCCCAGGTGAGCCTGGCAGGAGCCCTGTGTTGACAGAGAAGAAAATCAACCTAATCAAGAACAAAGATAATTACGTTTACTGGGAGGCTGATTAGGACTGCAATCTAGGGAAATGCAGATTCCAGCATTCTCAAATGTGCTCCCAGGTTTTCCAAAACAGGGCCTGTATTCATAGCTTTGGTCCATGAGGGGGGCATGGAACATCATTGGAGTGTCGGGTACTAGCAAGGGTCAAGCCATTTTGTGAGAAAAGGCATCGCTGTCTCCTCAATGTCTAGGTCATTCACAGGGAGCAGGGAGGTTTCACAAGCAGCTAACAAAAGCTAGTGGACTGCAGTGTGGCCCAGGGCAAAGGTCAGCAGTAGCGCTCTGGGTGCAGGTGCAGAAGTCCGGCCTTCAGTGGCTCAGCATGGGGGTGTCTGAGGCCAGAGGAGCAGGGCCTCCCAGCCCCACCCTAGGGGCCCTGAACCAATACTGCTCTGTTTTTCTCCTCCTCCTGGGCACCTGGGAGGCAGGGCCTCTCCTCCACTGCACAGCTGGAGAAGTGGAGGCCCAGAGAGGGGAAGTTGCTGTTCCAGGCAGGCTGTCCCTGACCCCACTGGGCTTTCACATGGACTACAGAAAGACACTGTCCTCTCTCCTCCTATGGATGCAGGATGGACAGGGCACAGGCGTGGATAAGCAGATAGAAATGGGGTGCCAGCCTCTATGGCTGTCCTGGGGGAGGGGGTGGCCTGGTGCAGGACACAGCCTGAACAGCTGCACTCTGTGATCCCTCGGTGGACAGTACTGGCCTCATGAGCCACATCCGTCTAACTCCAGGGACACTGGCTCATAGCCTGCAGGCCTGAGGTTCTCTCAGGATAGAGACTCCCCATCAATGACATAAGTGCCCACTGAGGAGGGGGTGTGTGCGGGGCATGCCCTGGGGATGAACTCCCTATGCTCACTGCCATCGAGATACCCTAATAACCCTGTGAGATAGGTTCTGTCAACACCTCCCTAGTAAGAAAGTGAGAACCAGAGAGGTACATTTACTTGCCCCAAATCACATAGCAGTACACGGCAGAACTRGGTTTCCTTCTATACCACTCTGCTCTCTTTGATGTGGTTTACACAGGCAGGTGTTAGGGAGGGGGCTGGGGGAGAAGAAAGGAGAGAAGAGAGAGGGAAGGAGATGAGTGGGGAGGGAGGGATAAAAGCAGAGCTGGGCACTGGAGGTGGTGTCTGTGATCCAAAATAATCTGTACCCAATCCAGGGATGTTTCCCACAGGGTGTACAGATCACACCATCCATTTGGATCTTGGTCACTTTGTCACTCAAACCACTGTTMTTGTCCTCAAAGATAAAGGGAGATACCACAGGAAGACATAACCGCAGAGTAAAATATTAGTAAAGAGCACAGGCCTGTACTCCCAACTCCAGTCCTGTGTGACCTTGGGTTAGTTAACTGACTTCTCTATGCCTGAGTTTCCCCATTCGAAATTTGGAAATAATGCTTTCTCCTTGGAAAGAGTGCTGTCAGGGTTTAATGAGCAAACGCATGTGGAGAAGAACTTCATGTCTGGTAGTACAAAGTTTTGGTAAACATTAGTTCTTCTTAGGATTATAACTCACTACCAGATAAGTGGGGCTTGACTACCTTTAGTTCCTCTTTGGGAGGAGTAACAACCTGTTTAAGGTACAGTTTTCTCAGATCATTCCCCACCTCCCAACTTTGTGGAGTAGGTCAGAGATGCATAACAGAATCTCTTTTAAAAATGGGAGTCGGGTTGCCCTGGAAAAGGAGTCCATGCCTAGGCATGTTGGGGATGTCTGTCTGCTGCTGCCTGGGTGTGAGCAGCCCCAGGGCTGAGGGCCCTGTCATGGACTGGAGCTCACACCAGGGTACTTTCCTTTCTCCTGGGAAGCTACGCAGAAGGGACCTCTGGCTCAGGCCTCTCCATCTTCACAACAGCCTAGACAGGGGCTGAGGGAGGCCCCAGCTCAGCTGGCCCCACCCCCAGGAAGTCCTCTGTGGCCCTGCTTGGGTCCAGCAGCCCCCTAGTGTGCTCTCTAAGCACCAGGCCACACATCTGGTCACTGCATGTGCACCTCTCAGGCCTCCCCTGGCTGCAGAGCCCTTGCCCTCTGATCCCGTCTTTCCAGCTACTGTTGATGGAGCGTCCCTGTGCCCCAGGCTCTTTACCAGATGCACATGTCTGTCTTTCCTACAAAGGACTTTTGCCACAGTGACCTTGGTGTCYGAGCTGGATGCTAACCCTGCTGGACTGAGGGCAGGGGCAGGCTGTCCAAGGCTGCCATCTGCTTCCGCTGTTACCAACACACTCCTCCTTCTGGCCTGCAGCTCGCTGGCTGTGCTGCTGGGGGTTAGCCTGTGACCCTCTCACTTCTGCAAGCCTCACTTCTTCTTGCTCAGTGCTTGAAGGTCAGGCAAGTTGAGTTTCGCTTCCTCACATCTTTTCTCAGCTTGTGCCCAAGCCCTGGTGCAGCCAGAATTCCAGGTTGCCTGGGGCTTGCGGTGTCCTTCCCAGCCCTTAGTCTCCAGAGCATTCCACTCCCAAGCCTTTCCTCTTTGTCCTCTGGGGGAGGAACTGCCTCTTTGGCCTTTTGGTATTTTTGACCAATGCTCTTGGCATGGGTGCCTCTCTACCCTGGGAAAGTTCTGAGGCAGGGAACACAGGCAAGCTCWAAGTGTCAGTCAGGTCAAAACAGGTAACTGCAATCCCAGAGGCAATGTCCATTCCGCTGCCTCTGGCTTTAGAACCCATAGCAGAGACATGGGCTCCCTTCTCCAAGATGGCTGCCCCAGTGGGAGCAGGCTGGGTGCAGGCTGGGTGCAGGCGATGCTCAGGGGGCCTCAGCACTGCAATGGTAGGCTGCGTCCTCAGGCTCTGGTCCTCCTTGGAGGCTCCAAGGGTGCAGAGCCGACTCCTAGTGAACATGGGAGTGAAAGCCACATTCCTAAAGATTAATGCTCATCTCTGTAACCCCAACTTTGGGAAAGGGCCCAGAGTGTCTGGGGAAGCAAGGAGGGCTCAGGGAGGAGGCCTTCATGAAGGCTGAGGAGCAAAGGTTGGCTGGAGTTGGGGAGGAAACAGATCCAGCTTACTTAGTGAGGGTTCTGTGGCCTTGGGGGGTGGGGTGGGGGAGACTGGCACTGGGGTTGTCACTGGAATGGAGCAATTAGGGAGCCGAAAGCAGAACATCTCCATGGCTGGAAGTTGGATGCTTATTTTCCTGGCACTTCCTGGCCTGATGGCTCTGTCCAAATTGCTGAACCTCTGGCCATCTTCATTTTCCTCATTAGGATCCCAGGGTTGCTGTGAGGTTGGGAAGCGATGCACAGCCTGGGGTGCAGCAAGAGGGCACTCCAGAGCAGACAGAATCAGCCCCTCCGGAGCTCTGGGGAGGTCGGGTTCAGGGAGTAAGCAGGGCCCTTGGAGCCAGGAGGTCCTGGATTCCCCGCTGGGGCAGGGAATAGGTGTCTGCATTGGTTTTTCCATCCTACCTGGGCTTCCTGGGTGTGGGACAGCCTCAGGCAGGGAGAGCAGGAGGGAGCAGAGTCCAGGTACCACAGGCCTCACCTGACTGTCTCTCCCTCTTCCCTTTCCTAGCCATATACAACTTCCAAGGCAATGGAGCCCCCCAGCTCCCGCTGCAGATCGGTGATGTGGTGCGAATCCAAGAGACCTGTGGAGGTGAGTCCTGTCYCCACAGACACAGGCCCTAGACAGTGGAGCCCACCCAGTGCACACCAGGCACCTTCACTGTGCTCCAGAGCTGCTCCTGTGATCTCTGTGTGTTAGCTCAGTGGCCTTCTCATGAGGAACCACCAACTGCAAGTGGCTAAACCTGWATCTGTACAGGACACATACAGATGTTTCTTGCTGTTCCATACGCCGTGCAGCATCATCCACAGCGTCTGCCTGGTATTCAGCATTGTAAGTCACCTAAAGGTGACTTGGAGTAGGCAGGAGAATGTGCCTGGGTTATATGCAAATACTATGCAATTTTATAAGAAACTTGAGCAGCCATGGGGTTTGGTACCTGCAGGAAGCCCTTAGGTCCGCCCTCCAGGACACTGAGGGATAACTGTAATTAGAGTTTCCTGAACAAAAATGCTTTATTATTTTAGGAATTTTTGTTCCATAACCAAGTCGTAACTGGGCGGCTTAATGTTTGTTACACTTACCATTTGCCACAGCCATGGGACCGCTTGGCCTGTGGCTCCTTCTGGATGCACTTCTTGATTAGTCATAATGCTATTGGGAAGGAAAATCAGCATTATTAGGACTTGGGAGGGAGCCATAAATATTTTCCTGGTTCCAGGAGGTCCGCTGTGCATAGCCATGTGATTTGTGTACTGCGCAAATGTGCCCAGCCAGGGAGCAGGGATCACGTCCTTGTCATGCCCCGTGCTGGGCAACTGGCRCCTCTTTCTTCCCACAAGGGCACCTCCCCCTAGTGAAACCAAGTGTCTCTTTGGTTCCAACCATGGTGATAGTGGCAGGAGGGGTGCTTCTTACAATTTGCACAAAGCTAATGGCTTTGGATTCATGAGTCTGGCAGTTGAAACTCAGTCCGTCACCTGTATCACTGATCAGCTTGTACTGTGAGCTTGTCCTGGATATAAGAACCGAATGAGCTTGCTAATCTGTCACCTGTGGTCAGCTGTCCCACCCCCACCAGTCCAGCTGAACAGCTGTGATTGTCCCTTGCCACACCTGCACATGGTACCCACTGCACAGAGGGTGCAGAGCATGTGCTCCCTGTGCCTGGGCAGAACAGAGGAGGAGGAGGAGGTGAGAGTGGCCTGAGCCTCAGGGAGGTGGAAGTGTCCCTTCCCCCAGTGATCCATCAGATAAAGCCCCGGAAGGGGAGAGGGGTGGCAGGAGGCAGTGTACTGCAGGGTAGGCCTCTCTTTGGGAAGCAGGTGGCCAAGGGAAAGGAGGTTCCTACAGGAACACGTGTCTTCAGTCCATTCCACAAACCAGATGCTTCTCAGTTGCTTGCAGCCCTGGAGGTGGTACTATCTGACCTGTGGGTGGATGTGAGGATGCAGGCACAGAGCCCCCAGCCCTCTGCAGATGGTAAAGAGGCACACACACACACACTCAGTGCACAAATGCACACACTGCTTGGATCGCAGAGGGTGTTCAGGGTTGACTAACTCCATCCTTCCCCATGATGTGGCACGCCATCTAGACGGGCCAGTGTGTAACCTTACAACACGGTCCAGGTGACCTGGAAGCTGAGTGATTGCCTGGAACAAGTGAGGCCAGCGCGCCTTGCTGATGTACTAAGTTTGCTCAGCTGGGTGAACCTAGGTGTCACGCAAAGGCAAAGAATGAAGATAGAACCGGGCACAAGCGCTCTGCTCGGTGTCTCTTGTATGCTCTGTGGACTAATGCTGAGGGACAGGCAGGAGACCTCCATCTGCAGGTGAGGAGATGGGGAGAGGGAAGTGGCTCCCCAGGTCACCTGGGAGCCAGTGGCTGTTTTCTGGTGCCTGGGCCAACACTCGGCCCATTAAGGCRAGATGGCAGTAAATCACCGAGTTGATCTTAAAGCAGGAGACAAAACTTTTAGTCACCAGCTGGTGGTCCAGATCTACCAGCTGGTGGGCCAAGGGGTGGGCTGCAAGTCTACACACTCAGGCCCCCTCCCAGGGTGTGAGTACACGTTTTATAGGCTAAAACCATATTAAAGCATAAGTGGCTGTTGCTATGATTCAAAATCATAAACAAATGTCATGAGATCTAAAATCATAAGCAGAAAAGAGAGTGGGCCAAAATGTCCCTAGTTGTGTACAAGTTAAAGAATGGTTACTAACCTCTAGACAATGAATCTCTGACAGGGTACACTGTCCAAGAAAAACAGGAACCAAAGAGAGAACACTTTTACATTGTATGAGAATTGCCATTACGTGTTGCCAAAAAGGCTCTGGGTACAGAGGAGGGGCTTTCCCTGGGAGAAGCATGTCCCGACTATGGATGTGGGAACCCCGTGTTAGTGTTCATTAGGCAGTAGGAATGAACCTCCTTGTAGGAGGTACAAATATGAGAAAAAAATACTTATTTTTTTTCCTCAATCACATTTTTCAGTCCTATTTGATTGACAGCTTTCCCCATAACTAATGACATCCAAAGACTTAAATCTCACATCCAGTGAGATGCTCACTTCCTTCCTCCGTTTCCTCAGTTTAAACACAGCGGCCTGGAGAGGATTTGGCGGGGAGAGGACATGGAGGACATGGGAGAAGGTGCCCTCTTCTCTTCCCTACTCAGTCAAGCCCAATGGTGGTCATCAGCTCCTGTACAAATAGCAATGCATCTGGGGAATGAGATGCCAGGTGCTTCTGAGGTTTTGGTGTGAAGCTGCTAGGTTGTATGCATGCTATGCCCCACCATGGTTTTTGGGTGGAGAAGCTGTACCATGCCTCCTAAAACACCTCTCACCTCCAAAGACCCCTCTTGTCGCCTATCCTGTCTTCAGACCACACAGGCCATGGTGGGAGATATTCTCTGGGGTAGAACAGCTTGCTTAGGTTCCTCTGTGTAAGTCCTTCAGGAGGGATGTATGTGCCATGCTCAATTAGTCGCTACCCAGTTCCTCTCTTTGAAATAACCAGAAAAGTCACTTCCTACCTATTGATACCTACACGTATCAGGGCCATGGAGGTCCATCTTAGGGATGAAGGAAATGGGATTTCTAGACAGTGACTCCCAAGGAACTTTTAGGTTTCAAAAAGGAATAATATAAAACCAGGGGAGAGGGGAGGGAGGATGTGGATTGAGGACCTTCCACTTTTTCAAGCGATGGATGCAGACTGGTGGTTGCTACTCTGTTCTGGAACCGGGACCTCACTGCCTACCATTGTGAGACTTCTCACCTGGAAGTGTTTGGAGCTCCTTCATGTCGGCCCATGCACATGACAGCATTGCTGCTCAGGCTGCAGACTACCATGAAATTTTATTCACTGTCTGCAGGGTGGGTGCACAGGGCTGTGGAGCAACTTAGACACTAGCAATTACATGGAGGGCGATCTTGACCCGCCCCCAAGTTCTTTGCTCTGGGGACAAGYGGGGGACATGATGACATCTTGAGAAGGGGTATTTTTAAAGCACCACTTTGTAGGAGCTGTTTCTCTCTTTGGCTGTGCGGTCGAGGCAGGTTGATGTGGAAAGGTCTCTGTCTTCTGGAGTGACAGTACTCCGGGAGTACCCGGAGAGGTTTCCTCCTTTTGAATGAAGATGAGGCTAAATGTCAGCAAACTTGCACCACATCTTCTTTGCTTTGTTGCTATAGAAATAGGTTGAAATGGCTTCAAGAAAAGAGCAGTATTCCAAGTCTGTAGGTACTGSAAACAAAACAGAAAATATGCCCGATGTATTCTGGATTATAATTATTCTTTTAATTTAATTTTTAAAGAAGAGAGGACAGTATCTACTGTTTTGGACCCTTATCTTATGTCAGGCACTAGGAAAACTCTATATTTTCCCCTTAATTTAAGCCTGATAAGACAGGTACCGTTGTTATTTCCATTTTACAGAGGAGAGGAACGAGACCCAGAGAAACACATTTGCTTGTCAAGCAGACTGTATATCGCAGATCTCCATGCAGATCCAGGCTTTGATTCCAGAGCTTACTCTGTTTTTTTTTCCAAATAAATTTTATTGTGGATATTTAAGGTATTCAATATGCTGCTATGTGACAAATGTAAATAGCAGGTCACTCCAGTGAGACAAATTAACATGACTACCATAGCAATTACCCATTTTTTTTTTTGGTTATTGCTGATTTTGGGACATGAGAAGCTAAAATATAATCATTTAGAAGGAATCCAAAAACAGTGCAATGTTATTACCTGTTGTCCTCGAGTTGTACATTAGATTCTAGACTCATTTGTCCTAGTTGTCTGCTACCGTGCAAGCTCTAACCTCCATTGCCTGGTTTCCTCTCCACCCCTCAATCCTGCTGCCCCTAGTAACTAATGTTTTATTCTCTATCTGTGTATCTGACTCTCTTTAAAATCTCTCCCATCAGTGAGATCATGTAATATATCTTTCGATTTTTTGTGGTGCCTGTCTGGTTTTACTTAGAATAATGTCATCCAGGCTCATCTACGTGGAGGCAAATGGCAAGATCTCCTTCAAGGCTGGGTCATACTCCATGACGTACATATGCCTCAGTGTCTTGCCCATCCACCCCCTGGTGGACACTCAGTCTGACTCATAACTTAGCTATTGCAAATAGCACTCGGTGAACTCAGGAAGGCAGCCATCTTTATGGGTGGTGTTTTTATCTCCTTTATGAATCTGCCCAGAGGAGACACTGCTTGGTCATATGGTCCTTCCAGTTTTGATTCCTTTAGGAACCACCATACTGTTTTCCATAAGGGCAGTACCAGCCTCCATCTCCACAAACTGTGCACTGGGATTCCCTTCCCCACATCCTCCCAACACCCRTTATCCCTTGACCTTTGACAATAGCATCCTAATAACCAGGCATTGTGGTTTTGAWTGGCATTTCTGTGATGATGAATGATGATGAGCAACTTTTCATACACCATTGGTTGTTATTAGGTATTCTCTGGAGAAATGCCTGTTCATATGCTTGGCTTATTTTTTAATCAGGTTATTTCTTTTTCTACTATTGAGTCAGGTGAGTCCTTTATACATTTTGGATATTAACCTCTTATCAGATATATGGTTGCCAATATTTTTTCCCACTCCACGGGTTACTTTTTAATGTTTTTTTATTGCTTTGCCAAATATTGTCAGTCACAGCTCACACTCCTAACTACTGATAGGAACTAACTAACTTTTATCTGATCTTGATATTATACATTTCAACAGAGAAGAATCATGATACTTTCAGGGACCCATGACTCAGATAAATATTAATATTTTGCCATTCCTGCTTTAGACATTTGTTAAAGTAAAAATCTCACATGCAATTAAAATCTCCTTTGATCTCTCACCTATTCCATCTTTTTTGTACTGGGGATGGAACCCAGGGGTGCTCTACCACTAAACCACATACCACCCAACCTTTATACTTATTTTATATTTATAGACAGGGTTTCACCTAGTTGCTGAGGCTGGCCTCAAACTTGCAACCTCCTTCCTCAGCCTCCCCAGTTGCTGGGATAATAGGTGTATRCCACCATGCTGGGCTCTGTCTAGGTTTTTGGGTATTTACCAGATGTGTAGGCTTTTACATCCATGTTTTAAAATATAGTTTTTGCAACACTCCTGTGAGGGGAGGTATTCTCTTTCTCATTTTATTGAGCAGAACTCTAAGGCTTAAGTGACAGACCAAAGATCACACTCTCTGGATTGGCAGAGGGAGGACTGGATTTTGAGGCCATGGATTCTTCTTTGATCTTCTGAGATATTTTGAATCTTCTCCCTCCCTTGACTGCTAGATTACTGGAGAGTTTAGGTGTTTTTCGTATTAGAATTTGGAATGCAGATAGGGAGGATGGTTTGAATAGCTGGTGCTTTATTCATGTCCAAAAGCACTGTAAAAATTTTCCCTTTCCTTGTGTTCCTCCCACCCTCATGAACTACGTTCTCAAACCCCACCTCCTCATACGGTCAAGTTGGAGGTTAGGTCTTCCTCTGAATTGGGGAGTGATACAGACATTCAGACCACAGCAATGCACTTTGTAAGTCCTTATGATAAAAAACAGAAGTGGCAGTCTCATGGACAGGGTTAGTAAAAATATCTCTCATTATTATTGAACTGGAAAGAGTGTTGAGTTCTGGCAAGTCACAGGATCTGATCAATGCTGTCTGACACTTACACTTGAGCAGGGTGTCCTCTCTCTTTTTTTTTTTTTTCCTGTGGGGCCACTGTAATCTGCCCCGTCAGGTCTTGGAGCACAGTGAGAAACAGCTGAATGGTGACCAGGTCAGGGACTGATGCCGAGGTCAGAGGCTAGTGACCCAGCAGGAGTAGAGATGTCAGGAAAAGTCAGAAAAACTGTCCTCCTGCAGCAGATGCCCCAGGCCTGGGTTGGCTCCCTCCCTGTCTTGCTTAATCCCAGTGCAGCATGTGGAATTGGTGGTCAGTGCTTCCCTTTCAAGATCAGTGGGGATCTGTTTCTGGAAGCACCAGGATAGTGCCAGCGTTATGTAATCGCAGGCACACAGTTGGTGCTGGTTGAACATGAGTCTGGGAACCAGAGTGTGGATGCTGGGGGAAGAGCCAGCAGATTCCCGTGGCCAGGAGTGGGCCGAAACTGTTGAGAACCTGGAACTCCTCATGGTGTGCACATGTAACTGAGTTCCCTGGGTCACAGCAGGCAAAGTCCTTGGACCCAGGAAGTCTAGGGACCCTGTACGGAGCCCCTTTCACAGAGACAAGATGTGGGCACCAGCATTGGGTATGGACTGCCAGTTCCCTGATATAGTCCTGATTTCTGGTGGCTTTGGTGGACTTGGTCATCAAGTCAGTTCAGATACGTGCAACTAAGGTAACCTCAACTAGATTTGTGCTCTTCCTCCATCAAAATGCCTGAACAGTTTCAAGGGCTGGCTTTGAATTCACAGACACTTGGACTTGAGCACCGGCTGCGTGATCTTAGCCTGCTACATCAACTGACTTGGACTTCAACATCATTTATAGAGCAGGAATGATATTACTTAGCTCACAGAGCTGTCCTGTGGATTAAGTGACATAATGCAGGCACAACACTTAGCATACAGCTTTGCCGGCTTCAAGCCATCAGTGAAGGGTGGCTAGTAATGCTGTTTCAAAGACGCAGCTATATCTAGCTAGTGGCAGGTGGTGGAATTGCCACCAAAGGCCGTGGCTGTGCAGTGAATGCAGGAGAATGTTACTTCTGCAGTCAGAGCCTTGTGTTTAAATTTCAAGCCATGTGACCCTCAGCAAGTTGCTTAATCTCTGTGCCTTTCTATCTTCATTTGCAAAATTGAAATGATCATACAACTTTTATAGAATTGTTGTGAGGATGAATTTATAACTTGAAAAAACAAAACGAAAACCTTTACCAGAATTCCAAGCACACAGCAAGCACTTAGGATAACTGCAGTTGCTAATTAATTGCTTTCAATAGTAATTGACAAATAGAGTCAACTGAAAATAAAATGTGGTGCTTCATGAAGAGCTTCCCTCATTGAAAGTACCCAGTTGGAAAGTAGCTGGAAAGTGGAGTCTTTGGAGGCTTCGGATGTTAAAGATGATGGGAACATTGTACCCACCAAACTCCCTTCCCACTGAAACAAAAACTATGATGTCATGGCGGCTTATGTTCAAATCCTGACACTCTCAGTCACTAGCTGTGTGATCCTGTGCAAGTCATTTACATTCTCTGGGCCTCAGGTAGGCCACTTACTTGTAAAATGGAACCAAAGTATATGGTTGTTATGAAGAATTAGAAGGCTTCCATATGAAGTGTCTGGGATGTCAGTTTATTCCAAACCTTATGCTCTTCCCCTCCCTCCCTAACTTCCTGATGTYCCTCTCCCTGTCCTTTTCTTTTTCCCTCTTCCCCTCCCACTTTCTGTCACTCAAAGGAGAAGCCACAATGAGCCCCTTTTGCTTTAGCACTTCCTTTAGGTCCCTGCCTTCGAGCTGGCTCGTGACTGTGAGGGGTGACCTTGCATTGTAAGGTGTTTGGGGGCTTCCACGTGTGTCTGTTGAGAACACTTTCTGGTGACCATCTGTGAGCCCAGCAGTGACGGTGTGCTGATGTGTCACTCACCTGGTGCTTTTGACTTACTAAGATGCCAAACACCACTGCCCGGCTGTGCCCCAATCACTTGCGAGCCCTGCAGACTCGCCGTGGCCATCAGTGCTGCCTCTCTTGTGAGAGGACTTCGTGCATGAGGATTCCTGCTGATTGAATCATTGATATTCCCATGAAGGGAAGAATCCTTTAAAATTCTTGTCTCTTTACCTGTCCCTGAACTTAGCTGTTTTTTAATGACTGAGTTGAACAAATTCAAATTTTAGACACCATTTGCTGATGTTAGAACTGTCGATATTATTTTGGGATGTTTGCCAAAATCCTTGAGACTTCCTGTGCCCCTGCAGCAGGAGTTGAAATCACGCACCTGGCCCCCAGGCCAGCAGGTAACAGGTGAGGGAGGAGCAGAGGCTGGTGAATGGGCAGCTCCTGTTTTCTCTGACGAGCGCTGCTGCCCCTAGCCCCTGACCATGGTGGCCAGAGGAATGAGGACACTGACCAGCATCACTGAGGCTCCTAGTTTGGCAACAGGAAGGGATTTACATCTTAAATGAGAGTTCATACCCCATTTGAATCAAATGTATGATATGTCAAGATCATTGTATTGCCTTGAGCAGCTAATAAAAAAAAAACATAAAAAAAATTCCTGTGTCCTTCCCCGCTGTATCTTTTTTTTTTTTATTGGTTGTTCAAAACATTACAAAGCTCTTGACATATCATATTTCGTGCATTTGATTCAAGTGGGTTAGATGTCGCTTTGAGTTGTTGGCAACCAATCAGACTGATTTCAAAGACAAGGGCTTCCAGACTTTGTAACAAAGGCCTCAGGCAGTTTGCAGTGATAAACAGAGAGAACCAAAGCAAAGCAAAGCAAAACAAAAATGCCGGGCAACAAACCTGTAAGAGTAAATGAGAGAACTGTTTCTTTGTTTTCTCTTTGCAGACTGGTATAGGGGATACCTCATAAAGCATAAAATGTTACAGGTAAGGTCACTTTCTTTCCCTTTGGGACAGTACTGCATGTCTTCAGCCACCACCCCACCTGGGCAGCTCTCGCCCAGCCTGGCTCCTCATCAAGCTGAGCCTGTCCCTCCTCGATGCTGCCCCGTGCTCTCTGACCTCCCTCTGGCCCCCATACCTTGGCYCCGGCTCTGCTGGCAGCCTCTCCTGGTCTCTGGTGCAGCCCCTCCCTGCAGCCTTCTCTGATGCTACTTGCATTTGAATTGCACCCTCCCTCCCCATTAGTACCTGTGGGATGGTGCCATTTCTATTTGACATCTGTTTTCTACTGCCGTCCTTTAGAGTTTGGGACATTCCTTTGTCCTCCTCTGCATGATGTAGAAAGGGCAGGCTGGGTCTCCCTTTGAGGCTTCTCTCACTCCTGTCTCACCTGACTCCATCCTCTCATCTCCTCGAGAGCAGGTACCTGCCTTGCCCATTACGTTTTCTCTCCTGGAGTCTWGCAACAGTGACCAGGTGACCCAGTGTGCATTCTGCTTGGTTTTACTGAGGACTTTCTGAGCAATTGATAAGTTTCTCTTGTTAGCTGAGCTTATGCAGCAAGAGCACAATAGAGGCTCCTTTCTTCTTCCCGACATGCTGAGCTGGGAGGCCCCATCCTACTCTACTCTCCCAAAGAACAACAAAGCAAAACCAGGGAAGAGGTCTCAGATCCAGCCAGCCCACAGGACTGTTAKCTCAGGGCCAGCTGTTCCTGACTTCGAAGGACGCAGCTCTCCTGAAATTGGGCAGGTCGGGAAGAAACAGAGGGTCTCATCTCACTGAAGGCAGTGGCTCTGATGGCTTTTCTGCCAAGACTGCCATCTTCTCCCCTGGGAGTGTGAGCATCCAGGATGGGGTTGGAGCATCCTTTGGGACCGAGGGGTTTTGTGGAATCTAAAACAACTAGACCTAAACATATGGATCTAGAATCCACCCCTGCTCGGACGCTGAGAAGATTCCTTTAAGGTTTCATGGTTTTAAAAGTCAGTCGCTGGCTTTTGACAAAAGCCATGAAGACCTTGGTGAGTCTCGGGGGATATGTCCTTTCATTTCATTTGATTTTGTCTCCAACAGGGCATCTTTCCCAAGTCTTTCATCCACATCAAGGAAGTGACTGTCGAGAAAAGAAGGTACCTGCTGCTCTTTGCCATGCTTGACCCTCCCTGGCTCGTGGCTGCCGCTGTCCTGTTGTCTTTGMGACTGACTTGGCAGATGTGCAGGATGCACAGCTTGGCTCTTTCCCTGGCTTCGTGGGAGAGCTAATCTAAACTGCTTGGGTTCAGATCTGACTCTAGGGGGGATTAGTCAGTCTGGAGGAGCCAACTTTTCCTTGGCAGTTGCTTTAGAATCTTATTGAAATGGACTAATCTTGCATATTGAGCACGAGGAGCCCACCCTGCTGAAGGGGGACAATGGAAGAAAGTCCCTTCTTGTATTTGCATAATGTCATTGGCAGGGCTGTTGCCTGTGATGTCAAGAAGGCTCTCAGCAGCTGTAGCTTAATGTACATCTACCCACATCTTATTAAAACCTGGATCCCAATTTCATGMCACTCTCTTTCTCACCCTAAATAGAAATACTGAGAACATCATTCCTGCAGAAATCCCTCTGGCACAAGAAGTGACAACGACACTTTGGGAATGGGGGAGCATCTGGAGACAGCTCTATGTGGTAAGACTCAACCCTGCTGCCCGGGACAGGAGCTTCTTGTGACTTTCATTTTATTTTAGGTTTAGCATTTAGCTTTGAGTGGGCCAGCCAAGGTGGCTTTGTGATGTAGCAGAGCACACACTACCATGTAGGAGGACATCACGGCCCAGAAGGGTTAAGCAGCTTTCTCAAAGCTACACAGCTAAGCTAGTGACAGATTCTTAATAAGTGGGTCCTGGTGTGATCCTTATGGTTTTTGTTTTGTGGTGCTGGGGATGGAACCCAGGGCCTTGGGTGTGTTGGCCAGGGCTCTACCAAGGAGATACACATCCAGTCCTTCGCATTTTAAACTAGTGCAAAAGTTGTTGAATTCAGGTTTGCATATAAATCATCTTGATATCTATAAAAAGATAAAGCTTCTTCTGATGGGGCTTAGTGATCCACATGTTTATCAACCCAGGGCATCAGATTTGGTATTCTCCTAACAGTGCCTTGGGAACCAGTGCTCTCGTATATTAMTTAACTGATGGCTATTGTCCCAAGATCTATGAAGAAGTTTCGACCCTGAAAAAACAAAGAGCACATCATGCTTGTGTTTTCCCTGTCTTGAAGCAAATCTAATTTAAAATCTTTCTTTGATGCTCCACAGCTCCTAATGAGAGCAATTAGCTATGCAGGCTCTTAAGCTGAATGAAAACAGTCAGTGGAGGCTGCTGCGTGTTCCTTGTGGCACTGGACACACCTTGCTGGCGTGTGTGGCCATTTGTAGGCCTCTTGTAATGGTTTTAAATGCTGACACTTGCATGGACATTTCAGAATGCTATGATTGGCCCACCAATACTATAAGCTTCCTAAAAGTTGTCAGGAAAATTTAGTGAGTGTAGTCCATTTTTTCATTACCATCATGAAATACCTGAAGGTAGATACTTTATAAAGAAAGTAGGTCTAATGTGGCTCTTAGTGCATGCCCTTGGTGGTGACCTTATTGCTTCCAGAGTCCCAGGTGGGCACAGAGTATCTACATGGCAAGAAATAGGGCATGGGCATGTAGAGGTTTCTGTCTGGGTTTTCTCTCTCTTCTTTTAAAGCCACCCGGATTCAATCATGGGGACTCTATCTTAATGGCCTTCTCTGATCCTCATCACTTCCCAAAGACTCCACCTCTCAACCCCACAGTCAGGTGAAGTTCCCACCTCTCAGCATCTGACAGTGAGGATTAAATTTTAATACTTGAAACCTCTGAGGGACCCTGATCATATTCTAGCCATAGCAGGGGATGAAGGGTCTGCTTGCAGCTAAAATGATTTCCTGTTCRTCTCCACTTCCTCTTTCAAAACATCCATACACCTGTACCATGGAGGCTTGGCACTTTCCACTAAGAAATATTTTACCATCATGCCTTTCACTCCAGGGAGCAAATCCTTTAACCTCTATTGTTTCAGTACCACCTCCATGGTTTGTGCCATCCCTGCACGCCACCTGTGTCATATTTACTTCACACCCAGATTGGATCCCTTTTTTGGTAGATAGTTTAGATGACTTATTTAGATAATTAGATCATTTACATAAAKAACTCAGTAGTGTGCTGCACCATCCCAACCCCAGCTGGGGCCCTGCCATGCCATATTCAGTGGGTGCTTCCCACCTAGAATTGGCAGAAACTCCATGGGTTTAAAGGCCCATGAGTTTCCTTCACTTCAGATGCCAGCCCCAAGGCTGCCACATTTCTGTCACACTTGGCTACAATTCAGGGACTCCTGATACTTGTCCCTGCCTGGGTGYCCTCCCTGCCCCACAATCCTTAGAACATCTCCTAGATCTCAGGAAATGGCTCTGCCCACGATGGCCGTTTCACTATAAGAGAGAGAATTCAGGAAGAGCCAAATGGAAGAGAAATGTAGGACAAGGAACATGGGTCACATAGCTTCCTTGTTCTCTCTGGGTGCGTCATCATCCCACCACCTGGAAGCTCCTGGAACTGGTGGGGTATGGATCAAAGTCGCACTACGTGGTCAGAATTCATCAAGTCACTGGCCACTGGTGATTGAAATCTAGCCCCAGCCACGCCGTCCAAGTGAGGGTGACCGGGAAGAAGGAGAGTAGGGCTGAAAGTACGACTCTCGAATCCATTATGTATCCTGCAGCTACCGAGGGGGCCACCCAAAGTTGTTCCATTAGAATAAACTCAGGTAGCCTTTGACAATAAAGAGGTGTTCCTGTCACTCTGCCTCCTTCGAGGGTATTTGGAGCACAGCACCAGGCACCAGGGACAAAGACCAGATGTGTGTGGATTTTATTATGCCACGTGCTCTTTCTCTAGTAGAAAGCCCAAAGGGTCTGGCATGATTGGAAAAAGATCATTCAAATACATTCAGGGAAAGCGAGACAGGGCAGCTAGGTGCTTACTGCAGTGCCCAAGGAAGCTCTGAGCGCCAGGCCTTCTCTCTCTGTGTTAAAAAAGAAAGTAACGAACTGTAAGGGGTAAGAGACATCTTGCCATGGAACTGCATCCTCTTCCCTGCCCCTGTAAACAGAAGGATGGCGGGGAGAGTGGAGGAGAGTCACCGGGTGGGCCAGCGTCATCTGGAGCTATATTTTGCACCACCCAAAGCCGTCATGCATCCTGCAGGTCCACACACACACACTCACTCTGCTTCAGGGAGTACTGCCATCTCACTGCCTTAAGGACCTGAGCTCTGGGACCTCCCTCTAGCAAACTCCCCTGGCATTTCTGTTGAACAAGCCACTTTGTCACCCTTTCTTTAACTAGGAAGTGATTGGGGTTGTGACTTCTGCTGTTGAGAACCCCCACAGGTCCAGGGAGCAAATATGAGCACAGCTGAGCTCGCCATCCTATCCTCAGTTGCTGGCTGGGGCTGGAGCAGGTCAGAGCCTGGTCCCGAATAGCTGCCCGACCTTGGCACTGCTCCCCAAGTGCCCGCAGCATGGGTCATTAAGGATGGTTTCCTTGTTTCCTGTCCTAGACCAGCAAAAAGGAGCGCTTCCTGCAAGTGCAGTCCATGATGTATGACCTGATGGAGTGGAGGTCCCAGCTCCTCTCGGGGACGCTGCCCAAGGACGAGCTGAAGGAGCTGAAGCAGAAAGTCACGTCCAAGATCGACTATGGCAACAAGTAACCTCTTGGGCCCCTGAAAAGCCGCTTTCCTCCCGGCCACCCTCCTTCTTCTCTCTCCCTCCTGAGAAGCTTGGTTTCATTTTTAGATGCCTGTTTGCCACTTTCTATTTGGGAGATGGCGGCTACCAAGGGCCCTGCCTGTGTGCCTTTGTGATCACCCCCCGGGACCCAGGGACGTGCAGGCAGAGCCGGCTTTGCTTACGCAGGGCTTATTAGCAGGCGGAGAGATTTAGGACACTCATTTAACCTAGTTCCGAGGGATCGGGAGCAAAGTCACCGCTGGTCGCTTTCAGCTTCGTTGTCATTTTATCCCTGCATTTACCAAACGCTCCTTTAAATCCCAGTGTGAGACTTGAAGCCTCTTCTCCCATCCTAAATTATCCAAGCCGCCACATGCCACCAACTAACTCACAGGCACAGTGACAAAAGTATTTTCCAGAAAGGGGAAGGCAAGCAGGCGTGGGTTGGCCTTTGAATGAAGTTACGGAGAAAGCAAAATAGAGAAAACAAAGTGATTCTTTGAGGCAGGGTGACCACTGCTAATAATAGCTGTGACATTATTGTCATACTTGATCTGAGTTTATTTTGCACAGGGTTTTGTGCTAAGTGTTTTCCATGTGTTGTCTCATTTAATTCTTCCAATGGCTCGACGGGGCATGTGGTTTGATTCTCCCAGGGTTTGGGATGAGGAAATGGAGGCTCTCAGTTAAGTGACTTGTGAAGAGTTCCACAGCTAGTAAATGGCAGAACCAGAATGCAGACATGGGCAGTCTGTCCAGGGTCTCTGGGCCTGGCCACTCTGCGACGTGGATGGCGTTTGAGAACTAGGGCTCCGTGCCTCGTGTTTTCCGATTGCCCTCCAAGCTCCTGCTCATGTGTTCAGTCATTCAAACAGCAAGTACATGAGGAGCACTTATGGTCGGGCTGATCTCCTGTGAGATGTTGGGGCTGCAGAAACTAAAGTCCCTACCCACTAAGAGATCACTAGCCACTTGGGAGTAAGCTGTGAGTTGACATGAACTGTGCAAAGTTTGATGGCTTTGGAAGCAAGGGAGCTCTTACTATGACTTGGAGAGGGAAGTCAAGGGAGGCTTCCTGGAGGAGATGGCCCCTAATGGGTGGTTGGCTAAGAAGGAGAGTGCCTGGCACGTCAGGAGGCTGCAGGGTAGGTCAGAATCCCTGAACACTGGGCTGAGGGGAGGTCGGGAAGCCCACCCAATGGGAATGCCAGGAGATTTCCCTAGCAGCCAGGATTTCTTGCCCTTGCTGTGTGCCCTAGGGAGAGGAGCCAAAGAAGAAAGTCAATGAGTCCAACTTAGAGCACTTCCCACACCAGGACACAGTCCCTCCATGGTCCCCTGTTGGCTTCTGGCAAGTGTGTTCAGATCTGCTTATAAGGCACRTCATCCCCAAGTGACAGGAAGGATTTGCCATGCAGCAGCTGCTGCCGGGGATGTGATGGCATCTTTAGAGGAGCACAGTTGCAGCTAGGAGTCAGGGTCACATCTGTGACCTTCAGATGCTATTTCCTCCATCAGGACTCCTGAAAAGCAGGACCAGGGAGGAAGGACTTGGTTGCTACTCTTAGGAAGCCCTCCCCAATTTCCTGCCCTCAGGTGCAGCTGTGCCAGGTGCACCTAACCCTTGGCACCTGGGCAGCAGTCACTTCCCTCAAACTCTGCCTCTTTGCTGCCCCAGGGGGCTCCTCTGAGACCCTGACAGTCTAGYTCACCCCATGGCCTGTGCCTGGGTCAGGGTCTGCAACAGTGGGTGTGCACKGAGCGGTACCCAAGTGGGTGGTGWGGAGGAGGGGAAGGAGAGGCTGCCTTAACCCAGGCCTTCCTCCTTGCCACCTCCCTGCCCAGCCCTGAGCTTTCAGTTCCAGTCAGCGTCCTCTGGGGAAGTGAGAGATGCCCTGCCGCTGAGGTTGGGGGCCCCACCAAGGGGCCCCTTGCTTCTGCKTCTCTTCTCTGTCCACTTCAGCTGCAAGTCAGACAGAACTGGGCACATTACCATTGGCCTGGCATCTTGGGGCCTCAGAGCTTCACTATGGGATGTGAAAGCCYGGAGGCCCAGAGTCTGGGCAGAGCTGCAGTGGCAGTCGGAGGAGCCCTGGAGCAGGTTCAGCTCAGCCCTGAGCTGAGTCTTGGAGGAGAGGTTAGGGTCAGCCTGTTCTCTCCTTCAGCTCTTTTGTTGCACACCTGGTAGGGCCCAAGGGGACAGAGGTAGACAAAATATGGCCTCTATTTTTAAGGAGAACAGCTATTAGGAGAGCAAGCAGGGAGAGCTGGTGATAACTTACTGGGTGTTCTCCGCACACCAGGTGCTAGCTTTTAAGTACTTTCCATCTATTAGCTCAGTTCCTTAGTACCATGACTTTACGAGGCTGTCATTAGTATTGTCCCTGTTTCTCAGAGAAAGAGAAAGAAGCTCACAGAATGATTGGGAGCTTTGGYCCAAGAGGCAGTGGGATTTGAACAAAGGAGCACAGCTACAGAGTTCCTGGGTGCAGCMCAATGTAGCTCTGTGGGTCAGTGAAGGGAGGCGCTTCAAGAAGGCAGGAAGCATGGACGAAAGGCCCGAGGAGGCAGGGCGAGGGCGACACTGCCCAGAATCTGACTGGAGAAATGGTGCAGAGAGAGAGAGAGAAAGTGGGGGAGACAGAGGCAAGTAGACAGGGCCTAGACACTTGAGGACCGAGGGCCAAGTGTTGAACTTTGGACCYGCTCTGCGTGCAAGAGGGAGCCACAGCAAGAGCCACTCTGTTTTCATTACCTTTTTTATTTTTCAAAATGCTGAAAGTGGGAGCTTCTTTCTCACCCTCATCTTGGATTCATTTGATCACTTTCTTGAACAGAGAAGAGCCACAGGGCGACTTCCTGAAGAGAACATGTCAAACTGCTCCCTCCCCACACCAACAGCTGCTGAGCTCAGGGCGGTGGCGGCTGTTGAAGAACAGCCTCTCCTGACCTCGGCCCCAGCGATGCCGTCAATCTTGCCTCGACTGTTAAAGCTTCCAAAATTCCAGGCGAGGCTGGTAATGGACAGACTCTTTGGTATCCAAGGAGTGAGGAATCCTCAAATGACTTCTCCAAATCCCAAGATAGCCGGATCCTGGGAGGATGTTTTATTCATGCATTTTAGAACCAAATCCACTTTGATAAATTTTGAAGAGAAAGAGCTAGAGAGATCTGGGCATTAAATTATGTATCGGCTCTGCTCCATCTTTTCCGAGGTCACAGGCACCTCTGCTCAGCATGAGCAGCATGCGTTTGTCCCCCCTGAGCATCCTGGGTGGGAGCGTGGCCCTGCAGCATTCTGAGTCACATCTCCTTGGGAATTAATTTCCTAATGAGGGTGGACAAATGGGCGCTCCTTTGCTCCCTTCCACTTGCATTTTGATGAGATGAGAGATGTGCTTCTCAATTTGATTCTCAAATAAGAGATGAAGACCTGGTCTCCTTCATTTGTCCTTGCTGCCCTTCTGGAGTCTGGTACCAGGTGAAGGTGCCCAAGCGGGACCACTGTTACATTCCCAGCACCTCTGTCAGCCACCTCCCCTACCTGTACATGTGGGCAGCTAGGGGTTTGCCGCTCAATGCCAAGTGCAAAAGCAGCTTCAAGTTAAGGCCGCTGTAACCCACCTGCCCTCCCAACCCAACCCATAACTGCTCCTGGGCTCCTCCTGTCCAAGAAGGATCTTCAGAAGTTAGGGGTGCAAACCGCATGCTGGTCTTTACTAGCTCTGTGACCTTGAGCAAACTAATCACCCCCCCTGCCCCGCCCCGCCTCTCCCCAGTCTGGATGTTACAGCATTGCCAGGAGGATTAAAAGCATTGTCACATGTAAAATATTTAACATATACGAACTTACCCTAACTGCTTTGTGAGTGTTTGCTGTCAGCATTGCTGATGCCAATCAGAATGAGACATGCTGCTGAAACAGATCAATATCTAACAAGCTCGCGGCCTGCGAGTCCAGTGGCTGAAGAGCAGCCGTGGGTGACAATCAATATATCTGAGATTGCTTTCTCTCATGGCAGTTTTCAAATTTTTATTGAATACTATTTGAGAATGTGTGTGTGTGTGTGTGTGTGTGTGTAAACAGTAAGCACGTGAAGATAAATAAGCACATGCCTCCTTTGTCCCCTCCTGCCTTCCCAGCCCTGACCCCCCTCTCTCTCACAGGTGACCCTTATTGGTCGTGTGCTCCTTTTTTGTCTAGATCATTCCCTGTTCCTTATAACTTTTATACACATACCCATGTGACACATCCGGCCTGTTTTTTTTTTGTTGTTGTTGTTGTTGTTTTATTGTTTAATTTTTTTGTTTTATTTTTTTTCTGTCCTTTTCTTTTAATTGGTTGTTCAAAACATTACAAAGCTCTTGACATATCAGATTTCATACATTAGATTCAAGTGGGTTATGAACTCCCATTTTTACCCCAAATACAGATTGCAGAATCACATCGGTTACACATCCACATTTTTACATAATGCCATACTAGTGACTGTTGTATTCTGCTACCTTTCCACATAAAATACACTGCCATCTTTCCGTATTTTTTTTCCCTCTGATACATTTATGTCATTAAACACATCAAAATTACATAATCCTTTTAAGCCCTAGGTCTTCCATCACAGTTCAGCCATTTCTCTTTTGAGACACACACACACACACACACACACACACACACACACTTTAACACTTTGCTGATGTAAACTGTGCTTCGACACACACCCCTGTTGCACGCTGGGTGTTCTTCCTGCTGTGACATCACAGGAAACACCACATTGGAGCACTTTATGGTATGCCCTGCCCTGAGAGGGGGTACAGCACAGATCTGCCCCCCAAGCTGTGTCCCAGGCCATCTGTGTGCAGCATGCCTCTGTGACCATGAGGTCCTCAACTGCTTGAGCTTCCTGCTAAACACTCCTCACCAGCATCCCGCAGGCCTCCCCGATCTCAGTTCATCTCCAGGTTTTGCTTTTCAGAATCCTTGAGCTCGATCTGATTGTCAGAGATGAGGATGGGAACATCTTGGACCCTGATAACACCAGTGTCATCAGCCTGTTCCACGCACATGAAGAAGCAACTGATAAAATCACAGAGCGCATCAAGGAGGAAATGGTGAGCTTTGCTAAAGAGGCTTTGGCCAGTGAGGCAGGCATTTAACACACCATAAACTTAAAATAATAGGCTAATTAACCAGACTGTGTATTATTCAAGGGGCCATCTGTCCTATGACCTGAAATGATCAGTAATCACACACACTTGATTGTGTTTTTGTACTCAGATCTGTAATTCATTCAGCATGCATCCCAAAGGTAGTTAAATGCCAGGCAAGATTCCTAATCTCTTGGAGTTTTTGAATTCTAGAAAAAAAGACCAAAAAGGTAGTAAAAAAAAGTAAATAAATAAAAGAAAAATCAATTCCAGATGGTGATACATTTCTAAAARGCAATCAACCAGGGTTTTGTGACTCAGAGTGAATCAGGAGCTACTTTAGAAGGGCTGGTCAGGAAAGGCCTGTTGAGAGTAAATTCTGAACAGGAGCCTAAGGGATATGCAGGCACTGCCTGGGAAGGCCTGTGGGCTAGGCAGAGGGAGCAGCAAGTGCAAAGGTCCTGAGGCAGAACTGAGTTTTGCATGTCTGAGGAATAGAAAGCCCAGTGGATGGGGCAGTGATTTGGAGAGGTGGGTGGCAGGATCTGGTCCTTGAAGGAACTGAGTTCCTGACATTAGGAATCACTAGGCTTGGTCCTAGTATGATGACAAGCCAAGAAGACATTTCAAGGAGGGGTAAAAATAAAATTTACATTTTAAATGTATGTATTATTTGAAAGCAAGTTTACTTTCATTTTTTTAAGATATAATTTGTACATAGTAAAATTTACTCATTTTAAGCTGTACTTTAATGAATCTTAGTAATATATGCTGCTGACTCCTCTTCAGCACATATAGAACACGTAGACCAACATATAGAACATTTCCATGGCCCCCAATGTTCCTTGTACTTCCTCCTCATTCTCATGAGTTCGGGGAGTTTCAACGTTGGYGTCCTGTGTTAGACTTCCTTCAGCTCAGCATCATGTTTTGGAGGCTCAGGTTATTGTGCATATTAATGTGTTGGCCCTTTTCATTGTCAATCGATATACTACTGACCAGTTGTGTGTGTGTGTGTGTGATGTGTGTGTATAATTTTGTGTGTGTGTATATATATATATATATATATATATATATATATATATATATTTTAAATAGACCAATGGATAGTTTCCACTTTGGGGTTGTTGTAACTAATGCTGCTAAGAACATCTGCAAACAAATCTTTGCATGAACATATTTCATTCCTTTTGGGTAATACTTCACAGTGGGATTCCTGGACCATATGATAAGTGTATGTGCAACTTTTCAAAAAGTTTCCCAAAACAACTGTATCATTTTGCACCCCCACCCCCAGCAGCATATCAGTGTTCCAGTTGCTCTACAGTCTTTCCAACATGCAGTGTTGTCAGTTTTTCACTGCAGTTATCCTAGCTATTGTGTAGTGATGGCTTTACAGGCTTTTCATGATGATTTTAATTCTCATTTCCCTGCTGGCCCCTGAGGTTAAGCATCTCTTAATGTGCTTACTGGCCTTTGCCATTTGTATCTTCTTTTGTGAAGTGACTGTTCAAATATTTTACCCATTTAAATGGGGTTGTTTGTCTCATTAATCAAAATTGTCAAATTATTTATATGTTATAGATATAGTTTCTTCTTTTCGCAGGGGCGGGGGGTACCAGGGATTGAACTCAGGGGCACTGAACCACTGAGCCACATCCCCAGTCCTATTTTGTATTTTATTAGAGACAGGGTCTCACTGAGTTACTTAGTGCCTCGCCATTGCTGACCCCAGCTTTGAACTCGAAATCCTCCTGTCTCAGCCTCCCGAGCAACTGGGATTACAGGCATGTGCCACTATGCCCAGTCTAGATACAGATTCTTTGTGAGGTGTGTTTTATAGACTTCTTCCAGTCTGTGCCTCACCTTTTCATTTTAAAATGCACCTTTCAAAGAGCAAAAGATTGTAGTTCTGATAAAGTCCATTAAGCATTTTTTTTTTCTTCGTGAAGAAATAACTTCATGAAGAATATGGGGTCCATGATGGTGTTTCCCAGAATAGGAAGATTAAAGTCAATAGAGTCAAAGTGACTTCATTCAGATTGCAGAAATTTGACAGTAGAGCTGCATGTAGTGCTGAAATATTTAGGTTTAACCCTGACTGACTCCTAATATCCAGGACTGTTTCTGTTGTCTTAAGTGGTGCTGAGCTAATAGGTTCCATCTTTCTTCTTCCTTCCACCATGTAGTCAAAAGACCAGCCTGATTATGGAATGTACTCCAGGATCTCTTCTTCCCCCACCCACAGCCTCTATGTCTTTGTGAGGAACTTTGTGTGCAGAATTGGGGAAGATGCTGAACTCTTCATGTCTCTCTATGACCCCAACAAGCAAATGGTCATAAGGTAGGTGCGCTCAGCATTGCCTGACCTCCGTGTACGTGGGAGGYTGGAGTTTGGCAGAGCAGCCAGCATCTCTTCTCCCCACCATCACTTGTGGAATAAATTCCCGCATGGAGGAAAAGCAGCCTGAGAATGTGGAAATMATTCCTTTGGAGGGCCTGGGGGTCAGATTAAAGTGTCTTCCCACCAGACTTTTTCCACAGCACAGTTATAGTTACAGAGTTTTGTCAGTAGGTTTTGATGACAAGAAAACAACCAGAAATTACAAGATTCACTTGTCGCATTGGATAGAACAATACCTAGTTTTATGGGAGTTGGGAAGTGAATGATGAAATYCCCACATCCTCCTTAAAGGTCTGTCCTGTGCACAACCTCACCTTTGTGTTTTCATTCTTCTTGACCTTAGGCTGTGGACCAATCTTAAGCCCGAGTTTCGCATTTACAAAATATGAGTGCTACCCTTTCTTTCAGGTTTTAATGAGAAAAGCCTGTAAAGCATGGGCCTGGCACATGCACTTCCAAGAGGCAGTGGCTATTATTATTGCTACTTTGATTAATTGCTCTGGGAATGGAGGAGGTGAGGGAACTTCTGGGTGCCTTCCTTAAAGAAGGGAAAACACCTCTGGGGGTCCCCAAGGAGGAGACTGTGGAGCACCACCAGCCCCCACAGTCAGCCCCCTGAACTCTCCTGTGGTTCAGACAACCTTCCTCCCAGGGGACCACTGCCTGTCCCATGCCCTGGAGTTTAGRGCCAGTGGTCACTGGTTGACATATGAAAATGGAGCTGAAGCATTATCTCTCTGTCTTCATGGAAAAACATGGAGACATGGATATCTTCCTAGCTTGGTTGTCGCTGCACTGCAAGTGGCAGTGCTTTAATCAATCATGGCTCCCCTGAAGACATCTGAGAGGCGCCGAGTCATCTAAGAAGACTGAGCTGAGACCTGCAAATGATYGCATTTGGTCCTCATCACTCCCTGCCATCTGGGTGAGAAAAGGAGGACCAAGGAAGCCCAGCGCCTTGACTAGAGGCCACAGAGTTATAAAYGGCAGAGCCGAGAKTTATACTCAGGTCTATCTGACTTCAAAGGCAAACCATTGTCTGTCACCAATAAATGAGTTGCATCAAAAAGCAAAAATGGTTTTCACCAGAGCTTCAGCACCACTGGAGTAGAGAGCTATGCTTGGTGGCTCACCCAGGACCCTGAAGTTACAGAGTCAGCCCAGTACACCTGGTTTGGCCTCAGTGCCTACGACGCACTGATCCCTCAGAACCCACCTTAGAGTGGCCTGAGTCAAAGATCCCTTGCGGTTCCCTGACAGTCACTTCCAAGGCTCCTGTGAGAAAGATCCTAAAAACATTGTCAGGACCCTCCCTATCTCTTAGCAAGCACTAGGACTCCTTACTGCCACATTGACGAGGGTGCCCGGGCCACTGACCCCTCTCAGTTGTGGATGGCCTGACCTAGCTTTGTGGAGCAAGGAGATGGCAGCTCTGTCTCTGATGYACCACCCTGGGTGACATGCCTGTTGGGGCAGGTGGGAGTGATACCTCAGGAGCATCCCTTGGGGTGGAGGTGGGGTGCGAGGTGAGCAGGAGGAGCAAGAGAATGAAGAGCTATAAAAACAGAAGGAGGAGAAATGAGAGAAAGACGGGGAGAGGAGAAGGGTGGGGAGTTGGGAAACACTTGCTACATCAGTCTGACCCTGCAGAGCTTCTCACTCTCTAGGAAAGAAATCTCCACTCCTGCCTGCTCTAGTCAGGGTTTACCTGGCCCTGGCTTCAGAATTAGGGCCTCCTTAGCATGCCCTGATGTGGGCTGGAGAGAATTTTTCTGGGCCTGATCTTGTTGGGTTGAATCGAGGTGAGATGCACAGTGGATTCCTGAAGAAATCTGGTTTGAGAAATTGAAAGTAAAGTTTTGTAGGGCAAAGCAGTAGCAGCTTGGGCATCAGGCCATGGTAATCTTTGTCCACATAGGGCCCAGGAGGGAATTGAAATGGGCCTCCTTTCCTGTGAGGAGGGCATCATCAAAGGCAGTCCCACCTGTCCTGGCGGCTTGAGCCTTCAGGTTTTATTACCCAGGTGTTCCAGGCAAGGATGGATGGGACCAGCTCAGACCTCTAAATTGCTTTTCTTATTTATGATTGCATTTCTCCTAGAAGAAAATTGCTGGCTCYTGCTGTTTGGATGTAGCAGGCTGGGTCACTAAGGGGATGGCTACATGTGATGGAAAGTACTGGAAAATGCCTATGCATTTCAATAGGAACAGTCCATAAATAACTAGTAGGAAGGAATAATATTGATATAGGTTCATGGTTGTTTTTTTTCTTTTCTTTCTTTCTTTCTTTTTTTTTTTTTTTGATAGAATCTCCCTAGTTTGCTATGAATTCCAAAAAATTCTTTTTTAGATTACTGAGGAATTTTTTTTTTTTTAAGGATGAAAAAGTTACATGTAAGTTGACTTTTTAAACATTGGCTAATCTGAGGCTGTGCTCCTTTTTGCTACTGGTTCCATTTCCTTCTTGAACTTTACTCAACGGCCTTCATTAATCTTCCAGGGATGAGTGGAGAGAAAGTAAGATGTGAGCGGCACAGAGCTCCATAGAGGGAGGGGGCCCCTCAGCTTTGCTGAAGTCACTTATCACACCTTCTGGAGCTAACTTTGGGTTTAGGGCGTTATTTATTTTTTTTCTAATTCAAAATAATGGCATTTATTTGGCACCAAGTATATGGTCCGGGAGGGCCTGGAAAACCTAGCCCCTCCATTCAGCGAGCGGTGCCCTGCTTGTTTTAAGTTAGACCCTTGCTGACTCCCTGTCTCCTTGGCGTGGCTGTGCTGACACTGTGATCACACTGGGTCTGGTGACTCGAGGGGGTGAGATGGTAAGCCATTATGCATCCGTGTCAGGGAATCCCTGCCTGATGGGACTTGCTCAGTCCCTGTCCCCTCAGGAAAACCCTCAGCAGGCTCCATTATTCTCAGGGTCCAGTCTGAAGCCTTTCATGGCCGACAAGGCCTACATGGTCTGGCCTCTGGTTAAGGTTACTGCATAACCCTTGAATCTGTTTCTTAGTTGCATCAAGCACAATTTCACATAAATAGTAGGGCAAATGCATTTAAATCGTTGTTTAAGAGTATCTTGGATGGTGGCTAAGATCCTGCATGAGCCACCACAGAATGACATTCCATTCAAGGAAACACTCCTGCCTCAAAGGGATGATTGAAAAGAATCCAAATCTTTACTCAGTCTCAAAAGTGGGGAGACGGGGGAGAGCGATATATTCATAAGGTCCAGAAAAGCAYGCCGAAATCGTTTTTCCTCCCATCTCTTTCTCAATAACCTCTTGGCGGCTCTTCCAAAGTATTCAGCACTTGTTCCAGAAAGTGCTCAGCAGATAGGGAAGGAAAGAGGACATGGCCAYATGTGTGTCCGTCATTCTTCCCTTGCTCCTCTAAGGTCGGTTTACCAACACAGCTGGGATCTCTCAGAGGCACCTCATCAGCTGCCAGGCTGGTGCAGGCACATAGTAGGTGCTCGTGTTGAATGGTTTGGACAGACGGCTGTGGAGCCCCTGCAGTAACAGGCTACCGCTCATCTTCCCACAGTGAGAACTACTTGGTACGATGGGGCAGCAGGGGCTTTCCGAAGGAGATCGAGATGCTCAACAACCTGAAGGTGGTCTTCACGGTGAGTGTACCCCTCTTCTGGTCACCATGTCCACCTCAGGAGGATCTGATCTTGGAAGTATGGCTGATCCATTGGTCAGGAGGGGGCACGGCCTCAGTGCGGGGCTGTGTTCCCAKCTTGATGGAGGGAGTTGGAGCTGGCAGAGGCCTTCTGCACCCCGACAAAGCCTTCAGGAGGACAGTTCTTCTCCTTCTCTCTCTCCCTCCCGCCCTCTTTCTCACTCCCGTATACACAGAGAAGAGCACACACCTCTTGATCAGTGGTGCCTGGTCCTGGGCATGGTGGCTACTATTCTGACTTCCCAGTTAATTCATGGTTAACTCAATTTCCCCTTTTTCACTTTGGGCCTTGCTAGAAAACTTTCTAAAATGTGTATGAAAACCCAGCGCTTCCCTACAACATTGGCCACCATGGTGAACTGGATATCGTGAACATGATTAAGTCCTGGATGACTGAAAGTCTGGGGGGGCCTTGAGAGTGTCCTTCGAACACTAGTACCCACTGGGCAAGGCTAACCTGTAGAAATGCTAAAATTTGTCATTTGGAAGATTTATTTCTAAGAATRAACTCGGCTTTTTCTGCTCTGAGCAGGGGGAAGCAATGGAAGAAAGGAGATAAATAACAGTTATAATTTCCAGCAGAGACTGCTCTCTTGTCCCTTTTTCACAGGCCATGTGAAGAGTGTGACCTCAGGACACTGAGGTTATGGGTATCATTTCCTTCGGGGAGAAGACCACCCATGGGATTTTTCAGTGGGTTGCCTGYATTAGCACAAGAAATGGCAGAGGCGGAGCCAGGGAGGGGTTTGAGCATTGACCAAATGGACGCGCTGGGCCAGGAGTGACCGACACGCTAGATTAACCTACCTTGCTCTATGATAATTTCCCAGTTACAGCCCATTAAGTGCAATGTCTCATGTCGCCTCGMGATAGATTGTGGTATAGCTGATTTATTTTGTTTGTTATTTCCTGAAAAAATAGGCCAGAGGCATGGGATAGGATCATAGGTCCTAAATGCTTAGACAGAGTTTTCTTGGCATATACAAATGTGCCTCAATTCTGTTTATTATCCGTTAGAAGGAGGAGCCTATTTGTTTTCTTGATAAATAGGAGTGTCCCACGGGGCTTCCTGATTAAACCATGAGACAGATGCTTCATGAGAGGGAGAAGAACGGGGAATCAATCTGTTCTTCCTTTTGCAGAGAATGCATCCCTGATGTCAGTAGGAAGGAAGGGCATTGGTGTCACATGGTGTTAATGACAATGTGGGTTGCCTTCATGGAATTCTGCCTGGGCCAGGGCTCTGCTTCTCAGAACCAGGGAACTCTGGTTCCATGGGCTGGTACTTCTCTCTRTTGAGATGGGGGAGTCCTCATTTTGGGAAGGAAGGTCATGGTGGTCTCATGGCTTGTACTGATTCTGGGGTGATCCAGTGAGCACCTGCTAGGCATGAGCTCTCTGCTGGGTGCTGGGAGACAGCGGTGAATAAGCTTCCTGTCATGGTGCAATGGGTAGAGGGTGTTAGATAATAAATAAGTAAATAACGAAGCAGGAGCATTGTAGGAAAGCACTGCAGACAACATAGATAATCAGAAGTGAGTGTCGAGACCATGTTTGCCTGGATGTTCCTTTCAACTGGGTGTTGTGGTGGTGCTCCCAGTAGACAAGAGCCAAGAGTTGGCAGCCATGTGCCTGGCTGGCCTCTGACTCTCCCCTCTGGATGTCAGTTCTGTCTAGTCTCCACTTGGGGGACAGATTTTCTGCTCACTGGGCTCACAGAGCTGGCGTGTGGATCTGGCCGACAGTTGATGTCCCCTCTGTCTGCCTCATAAATATTCCTGGGCTGGGCCAGAGGAAAGCAGCATGTGCCACGGGGTTCCTTCCTGGAGACTCAGCCCATCTGGGGTTGCTGCTAACACAAGAAACAAGAGTGGACAGTAAAAGGAATGCTAACAGCGCTACTCAGATGGTGCTGAGGCTCCCTCATCCTGCTTCCCCCAAACCTGGGAGCTGAACTTGAGAACTTCACTTGATTGGTTCAACAAAAGTTCTTCTAAGTAGAATGGATTGGGAGACACTGCAGATTGGAGCCCAGTTCTCAGTAAGGATCACTCACTTACACACCCTCCARAGGAGAATCTGCGTTCCAGCATTCTGGGCTAAGCTAAGATTCTCCAGGGCCAGGGGTTCACTGATGAACAGCTTTTAGAGATATGGCATCTTCCTTTGAGCAAGTCACAATCTTTACAGAGATCAAGGTGGATGGGACTTTACGGGTCTATCTTGTGAATTGGTCAGCTAGGGATGCCACAACCAAGTACCACGGATTGCTTGGCCCAAGCAACAGACATGCATCTCTTCACAGTTCTGGAGGCTGACGTCTGAGGTCAAGGTGTCTATGAGGTTGGCTTTTCACCAGCTTCTGGCCTCACCTTGTGGATGTGTCCTCCCCGGTGTCTTCCCATGCTCCTCCCTCAGTGTCTGTGTCCTGATCTCTTATAAGGACACCACTCATAGGGACGCATCCTATTGACCTCATTGTAACTTGTTACCTCCTTAAAGATCTGCCACCAAACGTAGCTAAACCGCAGGGCAGGGCCGTAGACCAGAAACCCCGACTGGAGGACAGGACATCAACATATGGATTTTGGTGTTGGACTGGGGAGGGGACACAATTCAGTCCACCCCACATCTGGAGCCCTTCAGGTTCCAGGGCCTTGGTGGCTCTAAAATGGCTCTGAAAGATCAACCTAGATACTGTAGAAATAGGAATGATCCCAGGGGGAGGAGAGAAGTAATTAAGGATGGAGGACATTAYGAAGGAAGCAGGGTTTTTAAGGATGGCGAGGCTTTGGATGTGCAGAAGAATAAGAGGCGAGTGTTTGAGGTGGGAGGGAGGGGAGGGTCAGGAAGAAAGAAAGACCCGGGGTTGAAAGCGAGCCTCCTGCGTCTGTGGTGCAATAAAGAAATCTTTGTGACAGAAATAGAGTCTGATTTTCAGAGAATGGTGAGGGACCAGTTGGCGAGGACAGCTGGATATATTATGTCTAGGACCTTTCATGTCAACTAGGAAAGATTAGCACTGCTAATAGGGTAGGAAATAGCACACTGTTMACGATGAGGGGAGAGAAGTAGAAGAAGAAATGCGGCTTCTAAAGACAAGTTGTAGGTCCTCTCGGGATGGCTGGGAGGAAGGAGTCAGGCAGGCCAGAGCAGAGGCCCTTCCGCCATTCGGATGTGACGTAATTGGGATCTTCAACCCAGATGGCACAGGGCACGGTGGGGTGCAAACGATAAGGGGGGTATCAGTCCCATGCAGCTCCTCTTTCCCCTTACCCCTCTCCCTTCTGAGCCTGCAGAAGGAGAAGCAGGTGTCCACCCTCCAGCTGGTGAAGGACAGCCCTTGCAGGAGTTGGGGTTCTCCAGAAAAATGGAGCCAGTGGGCTTGCTGTTGGGAATCTGCCGGGCAGGGCGGTAGACCAGAACCCGACGGGATTTCTCGTCTACCGTCTTGAGGCAGAATTCCTCCTTCTCTGGGAAACCGTCACAGCAACACCTAGACCCGAGTTTGGCCAGTCAGCTACACACCGTAGCTCAGCCAACTTGGCACATAGTATGCAACCACACAGCCCCGCACAGGAAGATGCAGACCATATGTGGGACTTGCCTTTCCCCCTCCTCTGCCCCACACCCTCCTCTCACACCAGCCATGCAGGAGGATGGGATGGCTGCTCTACCCGGGCCCTGGCTTGGATAGAAGCAGATGTCTTGTCCCCCATGCACATGCCCACACGAGAATTAACTCAAAGTGGGAGAAACGTGCTCTCCTGTGAGGGCTGAGGGTTCTCTGCTCTGAGGCCAGCAGTGTGTCTTGTTCCTTCCCGAGAGGATCCTAGGCCAGGATCTCAAAGAACACCGAAGCCTTCAGATTTAGTGGGGCAGTTGGATGCAGACACACTCGGGGGGATCCCTCTGGTGTGCCTCCATGATGGTGAGGGAGCTGTGTGGGAGTCAGTGTGTCTGTGGTCTCTGGAGAAGCSGTGACTGGGCTGAGAGCCCAGTGTCTTCAAGGACTAAGGTCATGGCCTTAGGGAAGCCCCATTTTTCTTTGTGTCTCAGTGTCCCCATCTGTAAAATGGGATGCAAAAATAGTATGTACTCCAGAGAGCTCTTAGGGACCAAATAATGACATAGTGGACACTTGGCACAATGCAGAGCACATTAGTGGAACTCACCAGTCCAGCTTTCCTCCTTCTAAACACACAGCTAAGCACAGTTTCCTGCTTCCTTGGAGGCAGGTGTGGAAGCATACCTTGCTGTGGCCAATGAACTGTGAGCAGAAATGATGATGTGCATTTCCTCTGGGTGGAAGTTTTTAATAACCAGTGAATTATTTGCTACTGTGTTGGGTTTTCATTGCTGTGACAAAATACCTGAGAAAATGAACTTAGAGGTGTAAAGGTTTATTTGCCTCATGGTTTCTGGGCCTGTGATGAGGCAGAATATCAGGTGGAAGGGTGTGGCAGACCACAGCTCCTCACCTTCTGGCAGCTGAGAAGGAGAGAGAGAGAGAGAGAGGGAGAGGGAGAGGGAGAGGGAGAG